GGGGGCTGACAAGACAGGGAAGTGCCCGCTGGGCTTCCTGTGCCCCTCACCTCGGCCCTCGCTCCCCAGGCGCCTGCCAAACCGAGTGCCCAGCCTTCGGATGCTCCGAAGCTTCTTCACAGACGGGGTGAGCATGGGTGCACAGTGAGGCTGTGGGGAGTGTCTGGGGGGGGGGCGCCTGGGATGCAGCACAGCCTCAGGGTGGGGCTCCAGGTCTGTGATGGGAAGATTCCTGTTTGCTTGTTAGTTAGTTTCATGTTTGAAATGAACTTCTGTCACGGAAGATGTCAGGTCCACCTTGCTTTTACTCTCCCCCTTTGTTTAGCCATGCAGACCCTCGCATGGACCCAGCAGGGGTCGGGAAGTCTGTGGGCCTTTGTCCACTCTCTCCCTCGTGGTTTTACTTATTTTTCCTTTTTTAGTCTTTAAAGAAGCATATCTTGTATATTCCCACAGCACATCTCCACTGATGGAACCAGTAGTCGATGTGGCTCTCTATTACATTTTGGGGGGAAGACCCATTATTAAAATGCCCCGTCTTCCCCCACCGCCCCCACCCCCAGCGGGTCACCCCTCCCCCTCACCATCCACCTGTCACCCCTTAAGGACACAGTATGCCCGCCACCCGCCCACCCCAGGCCTTGCACTTGCTGTTCCCTCTTAGAGCCCCCCCCTCCCCAGCCACGTGACTCCCTGCAAAAGGCTTCCTTTTCTCACTGAGCCTGCACCGGCAGCACACCGGCCAGCCCCCACTTCTGCAGGTCCAGTCCGTGCTGTCTTCCAGTTAGGCAGCCCCCCACCCCTCGCCGCCTCCTGAGGAGCCACCTGGCTCTCCTTTCCAGAGGGATCCCGATGCCACCCAGGTGGTCAGCCCTGCAAGGCCACCCTTCTTTACCAACGGGGATAGGCTGCTGTCTGGTGCAGGCTTCGGGACGCTCTTTCTGCCCTCTTAGGTTGTTTGTTTCTTTTTGTTTCATCAAAGGCAACACGCAAACCCCCCCCCACACACACACACACACTCCACGGCTCCCTTGCTGCTGGCTCGGCCCTCTCTCCGCAGCGGCCAATCAGCTGTGGAGCTGGCTGAGTGCCCCTCCCCAGCCTCCCCGCGGTGTCCCTCAGGTGTCCCTCACACCCCACGCTGTGCCTGGTGCAGGGAGCCACTCAGGCCATACTGACAGGGAGCATCCGGGAAAGTACCCCCCCCACACACACCACACACACACACACACCCCTGCTTAAGGTGTGATAGAGGGGCTAGCATCACAGCCTTGGGACTTGAGGAGACGCGGTGGGGCCGTACATGGCTTTACCTCCCGATTATGCATGGATGGGGAGAGCCGTCTTCATCCCAACCGCTTGGCAAGGACAAACACCTTGGGGCTGCCACCCCCTGGTGTCTCCCCGCTCACTCACCTCCTGGGCTCCCTTAGCTCGCCGCCCGACAGGCCGCCTGTGTGGCCGCCGTGCTGTTGGCAGGAGCACTTCCTCTGTCGCTCCTCGTGGACCTGACTACCTGCCCCTCACACTCCGCCTTTGTTGATGCCCCCACTTCCCCTGTTTATTTAACTCCTTGTTGACGATCGCTTCCTCTGTTTACTTAACTCCTTTCCGTCTGTAAAGTTCGGGCAGGTTCCCGATTGGCCTCTCTGGTGTCAGGAGGCATCGGGTCTTTCCTTCCTCCTGGCTTCCCCATGACACAAGTCTCGTGATATCAACACGAGTGACCCAGAGAGGGCAAACAGCCTCGGGGGCCACACAGCACCCCGGAGCTCGGCACAGGCTTCCCTCGGGCTGGCGTGGCTGCGTGTGGCCCATGGGGTTCCTGAGATGCTGGCATTACGGGAGCCACCCTAAACTGCCCTCTGTCGCCCTGCTCCAGTCCTTGGATAGCTGGGGCACTTCTGAAGATGCAGACGCCCCTTCTAAGCGGCACTCAACCTCTGACCTCTCGGATGCAGCCTTCAGCGATGTCCGGAGAGAAGGCTGGTTGTATTACAAGCAGATCCTCACCAAGAAGGGGAAGGTAAGACGGTCGGAGGAATGAGTGCATGGCAGGGCAAGGAAGCTGGCCCCCAGCAGGACTCTTCAGCTTCTCCCACACCCACCCCACAGCCTCTGAGCCAAAGGAAACCAGCTTAGGCTGCTACAGCATGACGGGGAGAGGTGAGATGCTAGGAAGAACTTCCTGGGAGACTTAGAGAGGCTCATGACAAAGAGGTTAACAAAGAAAGAGGGTCTTTGGTGTGGGATGGAGCTGACCACCTTGTCCTTGGAGTCATGACAAGAGGATCCCACCGTGAGCCCTGGCTGGCAGACCACCCCAACAATGGCTCCTGGGCCCCCTGGGACAGGAGAGAGCCAGGCCAGGGCGATCCTCTTAGGGAGCTGATGCCCGAGGACCTCGGAGCAGGGCCTCGCAGGATGAGCACGGCCTGCTAGCCTTTGTCCTAAGGCCCCGGAAAGCCCCTGGGGACTCTGAGGGAGCTAGTCAAGGCTTTACAAGACTCGTTTGGGGCCAGCCCAGAGGCAAAACCAATTAGGAGCTAACACAGAGTCCCAAGTGAGAGATGAGAGTGTTGGGGACAGGAGGGGGTGGTGAGTGGAGGGAAGTCGGGGGAGACCAACAGGACCCCAGAAGGTAGCAGGTTGAGTCCCGGAAGCTGTGGGCTCTGAGCTGAGGCCATCGTCCTCCAGCAGACTGCAGGCAGCGGCCAGGACAGACTTGGACTTGAGTCTTGGCCGCATCACATAGCCCTACAGGAGCTTAGGGGTGCACCTGGGTGTGACTCAGTTTCCTCATCTGTAAAACGGAGCTAAGCCTGCTGCTGAGGTTTAGCTGAGATGGCCCGTGGCAAGGGCTTGCCCGGCACCTGGCACTGTGGAGCGGCTCATTTTCTACCCGATGTCGTTACAGCCGTGGGCCTCCTCCCCACACCCTGGGGGGTCTTGTGGTATCAGAAGAGAGCCGGGGCTCAGCAATAGATAGGCTCTAACATCGGGCAATCCCTTAACAACCCTGAGCCCTGCTCTTCGGATCCGTAAAATGGGGCATTGCTGGTCTACCCCGTGGTCGGCTGGGAGGAGTGAACTGTTGGGCCCGGCAGGACTAGAACTGGGGCTGCCCTTGCTTATCCTGCAGACGGTTACTGAGGGCCCACGCTGTCGGAGCCACCTGGCGGCGCAGCGGCTAAGCACTCGGCTGGGGTTCGAAGCCTCCGCTGCTCTGTGGGAGTCGGCTTGGAAACCCCATGGGGCAGTTCTGCCTTGCCCTACAGGGTCGCTGCGAGTCAGAATCGACTGGACGGCAGTGGGTTTGGCTTTGGGCTGGCTCTCGTGGTGAGCCAGGCCACGCCTGCCCTTCTGGGGCTCACAACAGAGGAAAGGAGCCGAACCTCCACGTCAGACAATGGTGGGGAGTTGCAGAGGATGATGTGTCGTGGGGACCCCAACCTTCTCAGGGGGGTGGGTGCCTGAGAGCTGAGGGCTGAGGGGGTTCGAGAACCACCAAGCAGAGGTGGGAGGAGAAAGAAGGGTGGGAAAGTACGTGCTGGGCTGGAACCTGAGATGCGGGACTCTAAGGGTGAGCACGAGGGGCCCCGGGGAGTCTCAGCGCCCAGGGAGAGTGAGCCTCTTAAGGATTGGAAAGGGGCATGGGGAGGAGTGAGCTCCTAGGAGACCCCTGTGACAGCCGGACACAGCGCCGTGGCTTTGGTCCAGGTGAGCGATGCTGGGGGCTGACGGGGTGGGGTGGGGTGGGGATGAGCCCGAGTGGAGAAGCACTTTGGAAAGAGGTGCAGAAGCGGATGGCCACAGCTTGCTGACGGCAGGAGGACGGACAGAGGGAGACTGGTTCCTGACAGCCTGGCTTGGACTGTGGGGGGGGTGTGGGGGAGACCATCCCCGAGGCCACTGGATATCGGAGAAGAAGCAAGTTTGGGGAAAGGAAGCCCCCGGGGGCTCTATCTGGTCTATGTGAAGATCAGGACCCAGGGCAGCACCTCGAGGAGCCCCCTCAGGAGGGAGGCCGAGTGGGGAGCTCTCCCTCAGGGCACCCGTGGGCACCTGTAGCCACAGGTGGGAGGGGCGCAGGCAGGAGACCTGAGCCACCCTGACTTGTGCTGGCTGGGAGAGGAAGTGGGGGGCCGAGGAGAGGCTACTGATGAAGACTGGAAGGGGAAGCCAACAAAATGGGCATTGGACCAGGATGGGTGACTCGGCACGATGGGTGACTGGGCAGGAGGGGCAGCAGCCAGCTGTGCCTGTAAGGTGATCATGAGGAAGGGGCCCCGCTCACTTACCTGTGGGCAAACCCTGTCAGTCCGACTCTTGGGCACTTGGGAGAGCTGTTGGCTCCCCCTGCCGTGTGGCCTGTCCCCCAGCTCTGGGAGCCCCCTGCCCACCCGCCTCAGTGCTACCTGGGCGGGGAGAGAGCCGGCCTCTCCCTGCTCACTCCCAGGGACCCCTTCCTGGCCCAGCCCCTCTTTCCCTCAGCGCCTCAGCACCCTGGCCTGGGAGCGAGGGAGGCCCTTGCTCTGTTGAGGGTGCTAGTTGCCAGCCAGGTGCTGTCTGACTCCAACAGTGCAAAGCTCTCCTGTGGCTGCTCTCAGCCACCAGCTTTTCTCCGAGACTGTGCTCCGTCCGGCCAAGGAAGGATGGGGAATGGTATGTCTCTAGAATGCTGAGCCACCAGCTTTTCTCCGAGACTGTGCTCCGTCCGGCCAAGGAAGGGTGGGGAATGGTATGTCTCTAGAATGCTGCAGCTTGAGGATTGGAGCCTGGAGACCAGCTAGTTCACCCTGACACCAGGTTCTGTCTCACAGCGATGGCCTGGTCACTGTCTCATCACTGCTGTCCCCCCTTCTCTGGGCGTCTGGACGTCCAAGTTCTTCCTAGTCTAACAGGTCTAAGGTGGGGGGGGTGTCACTGTTGGGATCAGGCAGACAGGGCCATGGTGTGTGTGTATGTGTGTGTGTGTGTGTGTGTGTGGTGGACGTGGACTGTGCCCCCTCCCCCCCACCATGAGCACACTTCATCTGTTTGCTCCAAGGGCAGAGTTGCTGGGTGCCGGATGGACCACCAGCCTGAGGAAAGGAGCCCTCAGTCTGACGGGGAGGATGTAGCCCCTTCCCTCGGAGCTCCAAGGGCCATTAATGGACTCACGCCGTCATTACGGATGAGCACCCTTCCTGTACGGGGCGGCTCTAGGCTCTGGGACATCAAAGGGGGAGAGAGAGAAGCTGCCTGCTGCCCAGGCACATACAGTTCAGGCGGAGAACCAACCCAGGGGATAAGCTGAGCTGGCAGTCCACCCCAGGGAGAGCCAACAGGGGCTGCTGTCGAGTTTAAGTTGGGGTGGGGGTGGGGAACCATCACAGGGAGCCCCAGTTTGGAGGTGATGTGGGTGGCGTGTGTGCGTGGACGTAGAGTGGCCAGGCGGCAGCCACACAGAAGCAGTTTCCAGGCAAAGGAGCGGCCATTCCAGGAAGCAGGGCACTGGATGGAGTGGGAAAGAAGAGGCAGAGGTCACGGGCTCGGAAAGGGGCCGGGTGGGATCCCAGAAGGCCTTGGAACTGATCCCAAGGTGATGGGAACCCTCGGTGGTTTCAAAGGGCTCCCTCCAGCAGCCGCCCTGTGGAGATCAGGTGCAGGAGCTGAGCTTGGGGACTGGGAAGTTCTCTGCAGCTGTCGGCCCCCCGAGAGGTTGCTGGCGCCGACGAGGGTGGGACCAGTGAAGAAGGTGACAGGTGCTGTTTAGGAGGGAGAACAGTTGTGGCTTCCTGGTGGCTGGGATGTCAGGGGTGAGGAGGAGGAAGGGGTCAGGACAACTCCCAGATTTCTGGGCAACTGGGTGGACTTTCTGAGCAGCAAGCCGGAGGAACAGAGGAGAGGAGCGGAGAACAGGTTGGGCAGGGGCAACCCAGTGCCCTGTCAGGGGCTGTGGGCCGTCCATGTGAGATGCCAGGCAGGAGCGGGACTGTGGCTCTGGGAGACGGCAGCAGTTGGGATCGACATTTGGGGGTCCCCAACAGGTGATGAACCTGATCTAGAGCCAGGGGCCAGGTAGGCTGGAGCTCTGGGGCTCTTCTGGCCGGCCCATCCCCTGGGCCAGGGACAGGCAGACCTCAGAGATCCGGAGCACCCAGACCACTGCAATAACGCGAGTCAACCCGCATTGGGGGCGTGTGTGTCCCCCACCCCCGCCAAAAAACGTGATGCACCCCCTTCCCTCTGCTGAAGTGTGCCGCAGCATTCTGGACAAGGCCGAGAATTGCCAAA